TATTACATGTCACAGAAAACAAATCGCATATAATTTGCGATAAAAAAAAGTTTTTTTATTTTTACATAATTTAAAATCAGTCTTGACCCTTTTGAAATGCTTTTCATGGTACTGATTCCTCCTACCTGGTTTCATGCTCTCTGGCGCCATGCTGTCTGGCTTCGGATCGAAAAAAACTAAAGTTGTTAAACTGTTTTTTTATTAACTGTGATGGCTTGTTGACATTCTTTTTTCATTGAATATGTTTTTGTTATTGTTGATGTTAATTTAATGTGCAAGGGGCTTTCTTTCCATATATATTTTTTTGGTATAATATTATTTTGACGTGATTTAATATAGTGTCTTTCATGTGTTAACTGTGAAATGTGTCCCGTTGTATGAGCTACCCTAACTTTGGTACATTTCATACAGTTTATGGTTTCAACACGCGGGGTCGTTGATGACCGTGTTTTTGAGAGCAATATCCCTCTTTCTTTTCTTGCGTCACAGCGCACTGCGTGCTTTGTCATAGAAGCAGAAACGATGGCTGGAAGAGGGGGAGTGGAATCATTAGCTATACAAGAGTAACGATCGAGTGGCGTCCATGTAGAAATATTTGAGGATCCTTTCTTATCTCTTTAGTCAGCGATGGACATGAGAAAGAATAATGGGATTCTATTTTTGCTGCTCGTGTTTTTTGCATCGGACTGGTCTGAAGCCCAGATATCCTACTCTGTCAATGAGGAGGCGGACAAAGGAACTGTACTGGGAAACCTCGCAAAGGATTTAAATGTCAACGTTCGAGACCTGCAAACCAGGAGTCTAAATATTGTGTCGGGACACAGTAAGAAATACTTTGAGGCAAATCTTAAAACAGGAGATATTTATGTTAATGAGAGAATAGATCGTGAGGAGCTTTGTATAAACATTGTTAAATGCACATTAAACGTCGAGGCAATACTGAGTGATCCTGTGATACATAGGCGCATAGAGGTGTTAATTAGTGATATAAATGATAATGCGCCTGCGTTTGAGGAGGAATCGTTTGTTCTCAACATTTCTGAATCCTCACCAGTGGACGAGCGCTTCTTGTTGCCTTTGGCAGTCGATGCAGATTCAGGCAGCAATTCTGTGAAGATTTACAAGCTCAGTGTAAACGAACAATTCGCCCTGGATGTACAGAGAGGTGGAGAGCACGGTGCATCTGCTGAATTAGTGCTACTAAAAGCTGTAGACCGAGAAAAGGAAGCGGTTATCAAATTAATTCTCACTGCTATAGATGGAGGTAGACCTCCTAAATCCGGAACTGTACAGATTATTGTTAATGTTTTAGATGCCAATGACAACTCGCCATCTTTTGGCAAACCTCTGTATAAAGCTCGCTTAAGTGAAAATGCTCCAGTCGGAACGGAAGTTATTCAGCTTGATGCCACAGATCTAGACGAAGGTGAAAATGCAAAGATAATTTATTCTTTTGTAAAACGTGCCACCTTCAATCCCACTGAAACTTTTTTGATAAATTCAGAAACGGGTGCAATCAGCCTTAAAAGAAATTTAGATTATGAAACACAGTCAGCATATGAAATACACATACAAGCAGCTGACAGAGGTCCCACATCTATGAGGTCAAATACAAAGCTGTTGGTTGAGGTAATTGATGTAAATGATAATACCCCTGAAATTATTGTAACATCACTGATGAGCCCAATTAAAGAAAATGCTGAAGCAGGAAGCGTTGTGGCTTTGGTTAAAGTGATAGACAAAGACAGTGGCAAGAGTGGTCAAACCAGCTGTAAACTGCTTGGTTCAACACCTTTTAAACTAAAGTCTAATTATAAGAGTTATTACTCTTTAGTTGTAGATGGGCCACTTGATCGAGAAATACATGACTCATACAACGTCACAATTATAGCTTATGATGATGGTGTCCCATCTCTTTCCAGCAACAGCGTTATTAATATACAAGTTTCTGATGTCAATGACAACGCTCCTCGTTTCCTCGATTCTGCTCTTAATATTTATGTGAAGGAAAATAATCCAGTGAGAGAACGTATTTTTATTATAAGTGCAGTAGATCCTGACATGAATGAAAATGCCAGAGTAACTTATTCATTAGAAGGTGATTCAAAAACAATTCCTGCAACTTCATTTGTAAACATCAACTCAGAGACTGGAGAAATAGTCAGTCTGCAGTCTTTTAATCATGAAGAGTTAAAAATATTTCAGTTTAGAGTTAAGGCCACGGACTCTGGCGTGCCGCCACTTAGCAGCAACGTAACAGTTAATTTATGCATTCTTGATGAAAATGACAATAATCCAACTATTTTAGCTCCCTATTCTGAGCATGGATCTGTTAACAGTGAGACCATCCCTTATTCTGCTGAAGCAGGATACTTTGTAGCAAAGATAAGGGCTGTGGATGCAGATTCTGGATACAATGCGTTGCTTTCATATCACCTGTCTGAGCCCAAAGGAAATAACCTGTTTAGGATCGGAACAAGTACTGGTGAAATCAGGACTAAGAGAAGAATGAGTGACAATGACTTGAAAACCCACCCCTTGGTGGTTCTGGTTTCAGATAATGGAGAACCTTCTCTGTCAGCTACTGTGTCTATTGAAGTGGCAGTGGTTGAAACCACAGCTGATGAACAGACTCAGTTCAGACATGTGCCCTTAAAGAACGACAATTTCTCGGATTTGAACTTGTATCTGCTGATCGCCATCGTGTCAGTGTCTGGGATCTTTCTGCTGAGTCTAATCAGTTTAATAGCTGTCAGATGCCACAGGACTGGCAACGATTTCAGCAGATACAGCGCCCCCATGATCACCACCCACCCTGACGGGAGCTGGTCTTACTCTAAAGCTACCCAGCAGTATGACGTGTGTTTCAGCTCAGACACAATGAGGAGTGATGTAGTGGTTTTCCCCGCACAATTTCCACCTGTAGATGCTGAACTGATCAGCATTAATGGAGAAGATACATTTACCAAAACTCAGACGCTACCAAACAAAGAAAAGGTAAGATATGCAGAAAGAGCATTGGTCTAAGACTTTTAGTCTCTGTCACAGCAAATAATACATTTAGGATAATCGATTAGTTAATCTTAATCCTTTTATTTGCACAAATAAAACTTCCCTATGGTTATTATTATTATTTTTTTTACTTTCTGAAACGACTTATCAATAGTATAAAGTGCAAAATCAAGCAAGATCTGACTGAAAACGTTGTGCAGTTTACTCTGTCCATGGTGCTGAATGTCTGGCATTGTTAGGTGTAAAAACAGCTTTGTTTTAAACTGCCTTTAAAATTTGTGCTTTAAAATGCACAGCTCTTCTGTAGCCCTTTGTGCACTTAATGTATATGTTGAACATTTTTCGTTTCCATTCTAATGTTTTATAAACATCTCTGAAATTATAACTGAAAGAAAATTTTATTATATGTTTTTATATTTCAAAAACATCAGCTGGTGTCGCTGGAGACCACACATTTACGAATGACCTCAGTTTTTTTTTTCTTTCTTTTTTTTTTTTTTCCAGACTCCTCCTCCCCACCTCCTCCCCAAATTTAGCGATGGATGACTTGGGCTTTGTGAAACACGTTCGATAAAGCACAGATTGGATACAATATGATGTGCTCTATAAAGCAAACGTGTTACAAATTTTAAATAATTTTTTTGTCTTGGTAACAATGGGACGTGAAGGACAAAGAAACACAATATGGATACATATCTGGGCTCTGCTTTATTTCTGTGGAATCTCTACAGCGCAGCTCTCGTTCTCCGTTTACGAGGAGGTTGACAAAGGAACAGTGGTAGGAAATCTTGCAAAGGATTTACAAGTCAGTCTGAACGAGTTGGAAAAAAGGAATTTACAAATTATTTCTGGGACTTCTAAATCGTATTTCGACGTGGATTTGAAAACTGGTACGCTGTATGTTTGTAACAGGATTGATCGCGAGGAGCTTTGTCCAAACACAGCAAAATGTGCCCTTAATATAGAAGCCATGTTGAGCAATCCGGTGCATCTTTATCGCATAGAGATTCAAATTACTGATATAAACGATAATGCGCCATCCTTTCGTGAAAAGGAAATTACTTTGAACGTTTCAGAATCTTCTTTTAGCGGGGAAAGATATTTATTACCCATGGCAAACGACGCAGACAAGGGGAGCAACACGGTAAAAGGCTATAAGCTGAGTCCTAATGAATATTTCTCACTTGACGTACAAAGTGGAGGGCAACACAGTGAGTCTTCCGAGTTAGTCCTGCAAAAATCTTTAGACAGGGAGAAAAAAGCAGCTATTCGCTTGATTTTAACAGCTTTTGATGGGGGCAAACCTGCCAAGTCAGGGACATTAACCATCAATGTAAACGTTTTGGATGTAAATGACAACAGTCCGATATTTAGTCAGTCTTTGTATAAGGCTCAGGTCCTTGAAAATACCCCGTCTCAGTCTCCCGTCCTCACTGTTAGTGCTGCCGATTCAGACGAGGGACTAAACGGTGAAATAGAATATTCATTTATTCAGCGAGGAAATTTGAATCCAGGTGCTTTTTTCTCAATAAACCCAGAAACTGGTGAAATAATTGTGATTGGAAAGATAGACTATGAAATAAATTCAGCCTATGATATCCGCATACAAGCCAGAGATAAAGGAACACCTTCACGGAGTG